CGTCGTGTCAGCGCTGCATACAGGAAGAGGGAGCAAATACAGAACAAGCTCGGTGGAATTTTTCTGTTATGGGTCAATGACAAATAAAGATGGTCAAGATCAATGAAAAGAAGAAATGTTATCTTTTCATTCATGTTGGCTGAAAGAAAGAAAGAAAGAAAGAAAGAAAGAAAGAAAATTAATGACTAAATATGTAGATTAGTATCACCATCAAGTAACAAACCCTTTCCTTGAATACACTTTATCATTATTTTCAAAAAATGATTCAAGGTAAAAACAAATAGGCTACTGTATTTTTTTAATGATCTTGAATCGTTATTATTATTATAATGAATCATTAAAGTTTTTTGGGCTACTCAATTTCACCTGAAATAACCAATAAATAAATCAATCAATTAATTAAAAAATAAATAAATAAATAAATCATGACACATAGTCATGCATGTTTTATGATTTTCTTGTTTCATTACACCACAATGGGTTCATGCACATTATGCTAATATACATTTTTTAATCTAAAAAAAGTTGGTTTTATTTTAATCATCATCAATTCCAGGGCTTATTTCTTTAATACAATTTCCAAACCTCCTACAATTTTTTATTTAATTAATTTCAATAATCCTGAACTTTAAATACAAGGCTGAATGCCACTTAATACTTTTGGATGATGCTTTTAGGACATTATTGAAAAGTACCCAGCCAAATATACAACTCTGCTGCAGGCACAATGTAAAATGATTGCCACGTCCAATTACTCATTGTGTATTTGAAGTGGAATAGGACATGGAAAAAAAACAACAACAACAACACTGATTGCCAGAATAAGTTTGAAACAATGGGCCACATAATGATTTTGCAAGCAGAAAAGCTAAACAAATAAAATTAGACAAACAATAGATGGCAAGAAAGCCTGTTCCTTTTGCAAACACTGTGCAAAAAAATCAAGGCTTAAATTAAATCTTTATATTAAAAGTGTATAAACAGACCCCACAAGTCTGAGACCATTCAAAGAGCAAATTTATTCATTACTCATCATTTCATCAGACGTTGTCTCTATGTCGGATAATGATCCATTAAAGTCACGGCGTGTTTACGGAAACAATCTCTACTGCTAAACCCCCAATCCACATCTTTCATAATTGAATCTCTCCTTTATTCCATGGGCCACTTCATTTGTTTTGCTGTTAACCTCCATCAAAATATTATAATGTGCCATTTTGATATGCCTTTCAGGAGACACTAAAAACTAAAAATTGCAAGTAATAAACAAACAGCAGTAGGAACAAAGCAAGTGTGGCCTTCTTTGTATTCTGCGACACGCTCCTCTGAAAGCCAGACAGAGTCCTGCTCCAGAATGCAAACTCCAATCATTACAGTCATCAATTGTGCTGTTGCTCTCCTCTGCTGTGTGAGGAGCAAAGAGGTTTGCCCCACTGTATCACCTGGACAAATTGATAAGTGGCTAAAAGATGAACCTTCTCTCCCTGTGAGTGCCCGTCTGTGGAGAGCTGATAAGGCGAGATGCTCCTCAATTGGTAGTAAAGAGAAAATGGAAGTGACAATTTTTCATAGCTGATTGTTTCATCAATATCAGAGTCGATATTTTCAAGTCTGCTGCTAAATAGTGTGGGATCTTTTTCGGAACAACTTCATTACTTTTGGTTTAATCTGTGTCTTACGGCGTGTCGTTTAGCAAGTGCAAAAGAATAAGAAATAGCTGTGGGATACTTTTAATGGAAAGTTAGCAAGTAAACAAAATGGACACGCATTTGTAACACTGCATATGTTTTAGAGTGCACTACATAATGGTAATTGAGAAACAAGATGGGTTTGATTCTTTGTTGCATTATTACAGCACTTATAGTATAATAAAGACACTTTCGCTTTAGATTATGGAGAATGCGAGGCATCGTGTTTTATGATGTTTTGTTTATCGCACTAATTAGACTAGCATGGAGGGCTGAAGTTTCAGCAGCTTGACACTTGCAAACGCCTTATTAAACAGAATGAAATCTTACTCATAACCACGAGATCTAAAAATGCCTTTAAACAACAAAACAATCATCCAGTCGAGGAACTGAACTCAAATAAACCGACTACAATTAGTCCTTCAAGTCGCTCATTGCTACTTAAAATACCGACAGAAGATTTTCAATTTCCCACAGCCTTTCAATTAGGTTTGCTGATACAGGCGAAATCTCGAGGGAGCCTGGTGTCCGTGGGACATCTGCGTTGAAGAGC